CTGTACCCTTCTGTACCCTTCTGTACCCTTCTGTACCCTTCTGTACCCTGCTGTCTGTGCCCTGTGCCCCAATTGCATACCTTGAAGCAAGTGGCAAAGCAAGCGAGGATAATAGCTGGTTGTGGTGGTCACTGTGGTGTCAGTGCTGCTGGTCGATGTGGCTGAGGTCCTTGACAGTGGTAAAACGAGACACGCAGTGCCCGAACCATATATAGTATAATCTATATGGGGTCTATGACTGCCATTGTCAAACAATCTGTTGTTGTGCAGAGTCTGTTGTCATGTCATGTTGGAGAAATATGAACCATGAGTAAACCTGCGTGTCCCAGAACCCAGTATGGTCAATATCGAACCAACATGGGTGCAATGGTACATTAGTTGTAAGGAGTCCTGACTGTCGAAACCCAAGAACTTCTCAAAGCATTCATGAACTCGGTCTGCAGAAACACCCTTCACGGGATTGTACAATTCATGTGCAATCAAGTCAGCCGTGCAAGAGAATGGCTTTTCAAACTATATACAGTGGTTACAATCTCTGGGCTGCACGGCGGACCCCCAGCCACGACAAGATGACAAGACTCGCTGTGGATGTGGATGAGCTCGAGGTGATGGTGGACATTGTACTGGTCATCGTTGTGTCCTGGCGACAGTTTCATCCGCAACCAACCACCATGAGAGTACTGCCCTGTCGCACAGGTGAGGAAGAGGGAGAGACCAAGACCATCCTCTGCTCCTCCAAATCATTTTGGCTGAAGAAAGAAACGCCGGTCGTGGCACTTGGAGTTGACACCACAATTGAAAAGGGCCAAATGTGGGAGTTTATCCATCCAAACCAATGGCCGAAGGTGCTTGATCCACATGTACATGCGCCGTTCTCCTGCAACTGTTGGTATGTGTTTCAAGATCCTCTTCCAGGTAGAATGTGGCAACCCAGTGAATGGCTACTTATAATTCCTTGGATTCCATACAGTGAATGGCATATCACTGGTCAGTCATGGTCATAATTCAGGGAGGATGGTTGAAAACGTTGGGCACTTGCAACGTGAATTAGTGAGATTGGCATGAAGCTCCATGAACCTCGGATCAATTCCTACGTAAAACCCCTGACCGCTCCGCAGGTCCTCCAAGTCGGTACAAACCCTGACACTGTCCATCCGCATCACCAATCCTGACTTCTGGCTCCGGAGCTTTACTGTCTTTATATATCTGCAGTCATGATTGTTACATGTTTTGACCTCGCAGTTTACTTTTTCTGTTTTATGGTTGATGATTACTTGATCATCAACCTCTTTTCTACATTAACCCTATTTTTCGTGACAGAACCCTCAAAGAAGAACCATCCGGGATGTCTCATCCCCAACACTAACGAAGACATCCTCCGTCGGAACCGTTCGACCCGCTCCGTGGAGCTGGTGCCCGTGACAGAGCTGCTGGTGCTGCTGGAGCTGCTCTCCGTCCTGGCGGGTGCGTGGCGCAGTGGGTGGGAAGTGGGAAGTGGCCCAGAAGCAAGAAAACACGCAAACAACAATGAAGTCTCAGGTTAGAAAGATTGAAAGATTGGGACCTCTATACATAGGAATGGCTTTCTCATGGCTTCCCTTTTTGCCTCAAAACGGTGTTCCATGTTTGTTGGTCACAAGAGCCCTAGTTTGCCAAGGTGCCAAGTTTGACTCGAGGAGGTTGCCGTTGTGGTGATGCTGCTCCTGCTAGTGCGTGGAGCCCAAGGCCCTTCCGAACCCATCTCCGCCACTGTTCCGACCATCGGATTGCAGAAAACCACATGCACATGACACCGCTGTCGGTTGAGAACTGGAAAACCTCCATGCTTCGGCCACGTGAAGCATGTCGAAGCATTTCCCTGCAAAACAAATGCACCTTGTTTTTGTTAAAGACTTTTCACTCAGTGGGGAAGAAAGCAAGTGAGAAGTCGCACGACATCGCTTCCAACGTTGTGACAAGTGGCCACAGCTACTGAAGGGGGACTGCCTGTGAATGTAAAGCAGAACGAGGGAATCGTACCCATGAACTCGAGGTTCTGAATCGGCGAGCAGCAAAGTCAATTGGAGTATTGGGGGAGTTGTCTTTTTTGGTAAAGAACATGTTCACAACAAAACCGAACCCAAACCTCATTCCAATATATTCCAATCATGCATTCAGGAATCAGGAATGAGGCCTACAATGATTATATAAACATCCTGGTATGAATTTCAGGTGAGGGACGGATTCCCCATTCTATAGCAATAAAACAGGAACACCCACCCAACCTTGGGATACCGTCTATAGAATTCTTTGGAATCAAAACTTGAGGTGTGGCTGGCAGAAATACACCTCTAAAAAAAGGAACCATTCTTTGACATCAGCAATGCCAAATGAAGAGCCGGCGTCAGGATAGGCTGAAAGACCAACATGTTAAGACCGTTAATTGAAAAGTTGTATTCCAGATTTGTCCAGTGGTTGTTATTTTGTGAAAAATCTCTGGGCTTATGCGAGAAGCATACAAGAAAATCACATTGTACAATCAGAATCACTAGTCCCTGCATGTCCCTACAAGAGCAAAACCCTGCCCTCTATAGATTTAATGCCATTGATGCAACTCAAACTGAACATTCTATAGAATCAGAATGGACAACTTGACTTTGACATCTACAAATTACGACCATTTTCTCATGTCTCGCACATAGTACTGCTTCTATAAAGAAATTACTCTCTATAAAATGTCCTGAGAATTGGGCGGTCGACCCCCCATTTTATGGAGAAAACCGCCTGTTTGATAACTTGTTGATCAGAACCAAACTACAGGTTGACTACTAAAACGTCACATCCTTGGACACTCAAAGGGGTCGCGGCGTTTGATGCTGATGCTGACCTTCCACCGGGTCATCCACCCCAAACGGTGGCGATGAGTCTCCTGGTCGAACTTGTACTGCTCACACTGCTGCTGCTCGTGCTGCTCAGCGTTGAGCTACTGGAAGTCCTCTGATCCGTGCAAACCCGAAAGGGGACGGGCCTTTGGGATCCCGATTAGCATAGCAACCACCCCAAATCTCTGGGACGCGCCTTCTGGAATGGAGGAGGGTACCCTCCAATTTTGATATCAGCGCTGCAATGCAGCTCTGTGAAAAAACAGCATGACTTTCCGTCCTAACATCCCAGCGTACCTGGTCTTCACGCATTGCTGGCAGCCACAAACGACTGGACAGGAGTATGCTCAAAGGGCACCGTGCTGAACACTCCCTTCTTGTTTCGTGATTGCTTCCATGGAGAGGCAACCAGCAGCCCCCTTTTTAGAGATAAGCTGCACGCCCATGATCATCAATGAAAGCCGGCTTTGAGGGCGTGCTGTGAAGCTTTGGCTGGCAGTTGGACCGGCCACCAAGCAGCGACCAAGCAAGAACACTCATATGTTGCTCCGTCCAATACCCTTCAATATTCAATACTACCTCTCCCAAGTTTGAGTCGCTTGAAAATTCAATTCTCCTCCACTTCCTGGCCATCCAAACTTTGGCACCCTAGCCCCGCCCATCCCGCCCATCCCGCCCAACGTCTCAACCAAAGTGCCTCGATGAACTGGTCGAGGTTGATGAGCTGGTCGAGCCTCAGCTCATTGGACTCATGTCCGAGCGAAGCGGTCGCCGAAGAACGGAGTTCCGCTGGTGAACGGCGGCGACGACCGCGGCGACATCGGCTGAGCGTGAAGGTCGATCCGGCCAACCGCGACTCACTCGCAAACGGGTCAGGGCGATTGCCCAGTTTTCCTGGATCCGACAGAGGACACCTGTGAGCCTCTCTGCGCTCGAGAGCGATGTACCAAGCGAAATATCTTCATGTGCTGCTAAGGAGCCTGCACCATTCTCTTGGGGGCATCGAACTCTTTCACATCAGTGTCATTGGTTTCGCCACATTATCATTGGGTTCATAATATATTAACATTATCATCCGCACCACATTGTCATCGACTTCACGAACTCCAAGACGACACTCCCACCAGCCCAAAGCGCAATTAAACACATATGTGAGTATATATTTATATATGTATATAATTTACAATATACTGTATTTTAGTATTATACAGTTTAAAACGCATGCTCAACATGTTGCAAGCCTAATTCATCCTATAGCAAGAAGGACACTAAAGATTTGTATCTGTCGCATGCTTTCGCAGCAGGGTTGCCTGAATCTATATATGTTGTACCAAGTTGTACCCCATGTACCCCGTATGTTCCTCTCTAAATCTGCGCCAAACATTCCATCCTAACTTCCACCGTTCCATCCTTTCCTCTTTCCCGTCCTTCGTCATCCGAGCTGCCAGTGGTGGTGCTCGTCTCACTGGTACTGGTCACAGTGATGCTGCTACTGGAGGTGCTCGAGACCGTGCTGCTGCTGCTGGTGATTGTGCTGGAACTTGTGGTCACCTGCACGGGGTTCAAAACTGTTTATGTGGAAGTTTGCTATTGTTATATGTGGAGCCATGAAGTTACTCTATATAATCGTACCTTCTTATTAAGGCATGGCCATGGACAATCCTGTGGTGCCAAGGTCGGTTGCTGATGGTTGCTGGCTGGTGATGTGCTTCCCGTCATCAGGCTGAACAGTGTCTCATGCTCAAATCGCTGCAGGGTGAGTTTGAAATTAGTTTAACCTTTTTGTTCAGGAGCAAGAGAACTTGAACTTGTCAGTCACAAGTCTGGAACCACCAACAGCAACAGTTCTTGACGAATCATTTCTACTACCAGTGAGACTGAACTGAACCTTCAAAAGCAAAGCTTCATGCACATGAAGTGCAGGAACAAACCAGCTTCGCAGAACTACTCAGGAGAAGCGGTTAGCCACTGTCATGCGAAGTACATCTAAGTCTAAGTAGCAAGTAGGAAACTCGAAGCCTGATCAAACCCTGCAAAGATCAGCGACAGAAATAGCTGGTTCGTAAATCAAGTGCCCAACATGGACCGACACCATCCCTCCAAAGGGCCCCAGGGCTGCTGCCCAGAAGCTGTCGAAGACAGGGAGGTGCTGCTGGAAGTCACCTGTGTTCACACACGTTGCTGGTCGAGTCACGAACCAAGTCTCCACCACGTTGATCGTGTTTTCGGTGGGATGTGACCGTCACGTGAGCGATGTGTTTCTTTTTGTTCCTAGAAACAAGAAGCTACGATCGGGGCTCCTGGCCTTACTAGGAACAAGGACGCTACGAACGGGGCTCCTGGCATCACTACTCACGTAGAAATTCTGGAAAGTGGCCAGGACTGGAAGAGTGAGTTATAAGTTATACAGTATACATGTTATGGGTCAGACATGGATGGGGTAGCTACGTTTGTAGCGTCCGAACGCTCCGTTCGTAGCGATGCCCTTGGCTCCCAGTGGCGTCCTTGTTCCTAGTGGTAAGGCCAGGAGCTACCAGTTGCGATGCCCTTGTTACTAGTAGCTTCTTGTTACTAGTATATAAATGCCAGGAGCTACTAGTTGCTTATTCTTAGTTACTAGTAGCTGGTAGCGATGCAAATGTCTGCAACTCTTACAGTCGACGGATGATCCGTGGCAGACGGCCGACTCCAAGCCGACGGCCGACGGACTCGGCCCCGCGTGACACATGTGAGCCATCTGGATCCACCTGGACAGCCACGTGGCATCTGGCTTAGAAGGGGCGTGGCGGCCCCAAATACGATAAGGGAGTTGGGGGATCAGAGTGGGGTATAGATACGAATGAAACAGGATGTACAGCTGCAAGCTGAAATCGACCTCGATGTTCCATTGTTTTGCTCCACCAACGTTGGGGGGAAAGGCTTCCACAATAGAAGGGGAAGTTCTATCTTGAGGATCGCATGGAACACCATCGCCAGGTGCAACATCCCCAGGATGGAGCCAATGCGCTGCATTTTTTCTTTGGGGTTGCGGTGCTGATTCACGTGTGGGATACCATCTCTTAAGAGAGACCTTCTCTGAGAAATTTGTGAAACATCCGCGCTGGTCAAACATGGCCATGCTACGGAAGTGGAGCTTGTGGAGATGGTGCTGCTCGTTGACCATGTGGAAGACGTGGTGGAACTCCTCGTCACCATCGGTGACGGTTCACCCGCGCAGGCGCATCACGCATCCGAAGCCATCGACACGATGCAACTAAAGTAGGTTGATGGAGAAAAAGAAGCGACAGGGCTTTTGATATAGCGGCCGCCTACATCTATATCTATATATATATATTCTATATTATCTATAATATGTATTATGTATATATATGGTTATGCTCAAACCTAGGGTGTCCAAGCCCCCTGGCAAATGGAAAGAACAACACAATGCCGCTGCCGAGTCAACGTTGGCTTATTTGAGCCACATCCGTATAGAACATAACTGTGATCTTGTGCGGGTTGCTTTCCCCACGCTTCTCACCACAGTGACTATGTCAGTCGATGATGCGTCACAGATCTGCCAAACTAACATACCTTTCTGGGCCACTCTACTCACCCCTGAAGTTTCGTGAAATGTTGCTGTTGACGATGGACCTCCTGGAACAGAGTGTCACACTCATTGTTGCTACACACACTGTTTGGCAATCTCTGTTTGAAAGAGTTCAAGCTTCCCTTTCAGAGGAAAAACATAAGAATACAAACACCGCTTCTTAACATTTAAAGAACGGCGCAAATTGGAGTTCCACTGAAAGTCGAGAAAATACATGAAAACATATAAAAACAATATGACACCAGTCGACCTCAAAACCACAAAAAATAACATCCGTTCAAAACGAACATGTCACGTCTTTACGCTGCATGGGCCCTTGGATGCGTGAAGAAATCCCCATTTCATGTCTGGAGCAAGCAAAAGCGCACCCAATTCCCTCTCTCCTGGAGCTGCTTGTCGTCGATATGGTCCCAGAAGTTGTAGACTGGAAAACAGGTGCAAGGGTGGTGGCTGCAAAGAGACACACAGAGGGACCCTGGCATTTTCATGAGTCAAGAGATTGGAACAGCTCTTTTCTGCACTTTGTTACCGCACCTGTTTGCACCGAGAAACAGGTACACTCTCACACAGGTTTGAATGTAGAAGCCGGTTGGAACCAACAGGTAAAGGGTGTTTCACCCAGGCAGGCCTCAAAGAGGAACTCAACAATGGTGGGATCGATTGATGTATATGTTAGTAAAAGCAGCAGCAGCAGCAGCAGCACCAGCAGCAGCAGGAGGAGGAGTAGTAGTAGGAGTAGCAGTAGCAGGAGCAGTAGCAGCAGTAGCAGCAGCAGTAGTAGGGGTACCAGTAGCAGTACTAGTACTAGTTGTAGTAGTTGTTGTATTGAAATGAAAGACCTCGGAGATCCTTGAAGGGTAGGCACTAGTGTGCGATGGCTACGAAGGTTCTCACCAGCTCGGTGTTCCTTTTGCGTGTGAAAACTTTGTCAAAACCGCTCCCTTTCTTTGCATCTCCCGAATGAACAAGGTTTCAACACAATTCAACTAAAGTCTAATTTTGAGGACCAAGGTTTCGGACCGTTCACCACCTACTTACTCCGCTTTTTTCACCTCCATCAGGCCTCTCTTCGACCCAAGTGGCTTTGGTGGAGCTGGACGTGCTCGTCTCCGTCTGGGCGCCGGTGCGAAGTCGGTGAGTCGGTGCGTTCGAATCGAACCAACAAGGCTGGACAGTGTGTGAAACGTTTAAAAGAAAGGGAGACACAACTGTTCACCACTCAGTGATTCATGAAGAAACTTGGAGGCACAACCAAAAGACACTTCGCAACTGTTCACGATGCTGGCCACCCAAAATGTTCAAAAGATCAGAAAGGTCAAGAACTGTGAAAATCCGAGATCGAGCAAGCGAAGCCCCAGCTGTCTTGGGAACATCACCATGTCGGAACGGTTTTGTCGATTTCTTGGCCTGTCCTGGGATCCAATAATCACATTGAAAAATAAACTGGGACATCCAAACAAAGCTCAAGAATACAAACAGCCCCATGCAAGACCCTATCGGGCAAGGATAAATAACATAAATACCCAAGAGCAAACATAAAACAGGATTATTGTTCCTTCAAACTTGGTTGAATAGAATCTTATAGACACTGGTCACTCCAAGAAGTGGAACACAGTCAGATCTAAGATGTTAGAATGTTAAAGGTGTAAGGTGTTTAACCCACGCACCATAAGAGGGGTCTACAGTGAAGTAGGAATTTGACATTTTAAGGTCTACATTGAAAGTTCTAATCATGCTAGACCTCCGCCTCCTCATACCTGGAGGTATGCCCATTCTAGACCCTAAGTAAGTAGTTGAGGGTATTTACTATTGCAATGTTGGTGAGTCTTCAGGATTCCGCCAACCTTCGCTTCCGAGCCAAGCCCAACCAGAATATCACTAGCCACTCGGGTTCTATCGCATCACTTGCTGCTAGTAAACAATTGGATTGATGATCTCTCCAAAGATGCAACCGCCAAACTCTCATCATTTCTGGTCTCACCCGAACTCGAACACATCCGCTTGTAACATTCCAGCTGTTGCGGCATCCACATGCATGCTCTGGAGAAGCCCTGGAAGCCCTGGAGGCCCGAGGCGTGAAGACGCTCTCCTCACGCCCAGCGACGCTGCTGCTGGTGGTCTGACTGGTGATCGACACGGTGTGGGTGAGCGAAGTACTGGTGACCTGGACAGGATGGCGGCGCCCAAAGGGTTGGTTCACTCACACAACAATGATGCAAAAGAAACACCTGGAGCTTAGCAAAGCAATGGACACATGCCAGGCAGTCGAAGGATGGATTTTTGGCACACTGTCATACCAGTTCTCCAAAGAGCATACATTACTATCACGGTCTCTTCGTGAACTTTGATTTGGTGTTCCATACAGCGGCAGGTCCCACCCCAAAATCACAGCGACCTTGGGATCAAAAAAACGATTCCCAAGTAGGTGGAAACAAAGCAGCAAAAATCAAAGAACATCAAAGAACGGTGGTTCTTCCCAAGAAATGCCCAAATGTCCACTTTGGACCTGCTCCATGATCAGAATCCGTCACCACAAAAGTTGTAAAAGCTCCAAGTCACACTGTTCTTGATCTCTGGCTCTAGAAAGCCTGAAGCCTGCCCAAAAGTGGTCTGACATGTTTTTCGATTGTTTTTGGTGAGCCAGGTCCTACTACCAGCTGCCCAGTGATCGAATGGACAAGTTGCTGTCTCGGTCGTCACACCTGTCCCAGTCGTTAATCGCGCAGTCGGTCGCCGGGGGTCGTTGGGTCGGAAACAAGGATCGTTTGGAGACAGGGAGCAAGTGGTTGAGCCTTCGATAGTTGAGTTGAAAGCTTTGAATTGGTGTTTTCCAGGTTCAACTGTGCATCGTTCATGTTTTCTTCGTGTTTCCCTGGTCATTCTATGGTCAAGCATACCATGCAGCACCATTTTCCGAAAGAAAAAGGCCGGCGACCCATACTTTTCTGGTTCTTCACCTGAGGAGAAGCATCGGTGCTTCCGTTAGAAGCTTTTCGGTTGGCAAACGGAGCTTTCGTGAAGAATGCTTGCGTTCTTTGAAGAATGACTCCTGGACCTTTGAAGAATGACTAATAGTGGCTTGAACGAAGATGCACTTGGGCCACATGGTCCATCAACATTGGGTCAACAGGGTAAGTGAGAAAGGCCCCCACAAAAACTAGAGCTCCATTCAGCTCGATGTTCCACACCATGTTTGGAGCCACATGCCGGATCGCTTACCATTCTCCTCGTCCTGGATCCCTTCCACCGGATCGCTTGGGCGAAGGATCCCCATGCGACTCAGCTGGGGGATCCTTCGCCCAGCGTCCTCACCGTCTTCGCCAAGGAACTGATGGACGTGCTGGTCGCCTGGTCTTGGCGAGAGGGAGGAGGAAGCAAGCTGGTCTTAGCCGGTCCTAAAACATCCGTGACGAAAGAGAACAAACACGCACAGTTTCCGAGAAACATTGAATTGAATTGTATTGGCAAACATGTCAACATTGATGTAGGAACCCTGAAGCTGGCTGCTGGCTTGTGTATGGTGTCAATCATCATGATCATTGCTACAATCATCCCCTGAGCTGACTGTGGAGCTGACCACAGGCCAGTGCACGTTGCCCCGCCGTTGGAGTGACGGTCTCCCAACTTCCAACTTCAAAACTGCCGGTGGTTGGTCCCAGTGCTGGGAATACTGGGCATAGACCGCGAGATGGGCTTCTTCACGGTAGAAAACAACAGAAAACTGAAGAGGCAAACAATTGATTTGCTTAAGGACCCTGGAAAAACATGATTCCCCATGGGATTTAACAAGATTGAACCATGGGGAAGATTGAACAACATCACCTTAGGCAAGCAAAACAGTTCTTGATTCTTGATTCGTGATAATGATATCTCTTGATGTCCAGTTCACTTACACAGCTTGTCCAATTTTGTCTCCGAGTCCCAAACTACCGCCCAGGCTGATCTTTCAATAGCCACTTCCCACGAACATGAGGGATGCTCAAATGGGAACATCAAGCACTCACAGTACCTATAGTACTAACATGTACCAACCCGTATCCTGGCTTGTGGCAAGCTCCCACGCACACGCGGTCGGGGGTTCACTGCCAAATCTTCAACGATCAATACATTATCACGACCGAAGCGATGCATGCCAAGCAACTGTCGTCGTTGCTGTCGTGACAGTGGTCCTCCAAGGAGCCGACATAAAAGAAAATGATTCCAGGAGTCCGGAGTCCCACTCATCAGCGGATTGTGTGGCATGTCATTTGGAAGGAATGAACAAAGAAAAAACATCGAAGGCCGAGGGTGAAACAAACCCCACCTGGAGCTGCAGCATGTTGGGGGGGGATGTGATGCATGGAAACCGTTGAGTTGGGACGTTGGCCGTCATCCCAGGTCGGTCCCACCTGCTACTGGAGGTGCTGGACACCTGGGCGGATGGTGCTGTCGCTTGGCTTGGATGGTTGAAGCATGTTGAACCCAAAGGAATCGTACTGCAATATGTCAGCATCCAACATTGTAACATGCAAACTACAGACCTTTACTGAAAACGAACTTAACTGGTGAGTCATCACTCCCCTTCTCAAACCATCTCTGCCAGCGTGGGGTGTATCTGAATGTCTCTGATGCAGTTCCAGGAAGAATGCGTCTCCGCTAATTACTGCGACAAAGTCCGGTGACCCAATTGACCCAAAGTAGCCTTCACGAACAGCTTCGACTTCATTCAACAAGCTCCCCCGAAGGATTCTGTGTAGTCCGTCAGGGTGTTCTGTTTTGAACCCTGATTAAGCATTTCAAAGCGTTTAGTTCTTTGACCCGAAACAAGACGGGGCGGCGAAGGTGCCGATCCAGCCGACAGTGCCGAGGGTCAGTGGTGGCTGAGGAGGTCTGCGAAATGGTGCTCTGCGAGATGGTGCTGGTACTGCGCGGTTTGGAGCGACCACGACGCTTGGAGCGAAAGAACACCTTCGGAGTTGGTTCCCGGATGTTTTCGGAAAAAAAGGAACACCTTAAGGGGAAGGTGAGTCTCAAAAAGGAGCTGTCACACGGATTGGCCATGTAATCAAGGTGTGGTCTCAAAAAGAATCAAAAGACTTTTTCACATGAATCCTAACATATCAAAACCCTCATCAATATTCCCTCAGCTCTAAGTAGGTTTTCCTGACGACCTGCTTTGAAAGGAAGCTCATCTGGAGCAGCATATGATTGAAATTGGAAGTACCATGAGGCACCAGTAGCCTGTGCTTTTTGTGCACGATTCATCTTGTTTTGCAACTAGCTAACTGCGTCACGTAAAAAGAATGTCAACAGCTCTCTCTTGTTTAGGGTTGCGAATTTATTTCTGGATTTTTTTTTCGTTTTTTTTGTTTTTTTTGTTTTCCGTGTTTCGTGGCAGGTGCGTACTTTGTGGACCTTGCAAAGCACATTTCGTGGCAGGTGCAGGACTTTGTGGGCCTTGGAGTGCAGAGCTTGTGGCAGGCGCAGGACTTTTTGTGGGCCTTGAAGTGCAGATTTCGTGGCAGGTGTAGTACTTTGTGGCCCTTGGAGTGCAGATTTTGTGGCAGGCACAGGACTTTGTGGACCTTGAAGTGCAGATTTCGTGGCAGATGCAGGACTTTGTGGGTGTGGAAGTGTAGAGTTGGTGGCAGGTGCAGGACTTTGTGGGCCTTGGAGTGCAGATTTCGTGGCAGGCGCAAGACTTTGTGGACCTTGAAGTGCAGATTTCGTGGCAGGTGCAGTACTTTGTGGATGTTGAACTGCAGAAAGATAGAAAAATAAATTGATAGATAGATAGATTAGATTAGATTAGATTGGATTGGATTAGATTAGATTAGATTAGATTAGATAGATAGATAGATAGATAGATAGAGGAGGCATATTTGCTTGGTTAGAAATTTTTGCACCGGGGAGTTCACCTTAAAATATTGATTTCGTGGCAGGCGCGGGTGTCGGGGATGAAGTGCAGATTTCGTGGCGCGGAGGGGGTTGGGGGGGGGCGCAGCGCCCCCCCCAGCAGCACACCAGATCCAAAGGTGAGCAGCTCGTGCTTGCTTGCTTGCTTGCTCGCTTCCTTGTTTGGTTTCGTCTCTGCAACGAAAACAACAGGAAAAGCAAATACAAAAAGAGAAAGGAGAACAGCTGCCAAAAGAAAGAAAGATAGATAGATAGATAAATAGATAGGTATAGACAGATAGATGGATAGGCCAAAAAGCCAAAAGCCACAAAAGCCAAAAGCCACAGAAGCCACGAAAGCCACGAAAGCCAAAAGCCACAAAAGCCAAAAGCCACAGAAGCCAAAAGCCACAAAAGCCAGAAGCCACAGAAGCCAGAAGCCAGAAGCCACGAAAAAAAAACAAAAACAAAAAAGAAACAAACAAAATCCAAAAATAAATACCCCTCCCTTGTTTAGTCTTCTGGCGACGAACTCTTCTGCAAATGTCTGCAGTTGTATGGATAGAAACTTGAATCACCTTCAACATTTACAGCAGTTTGAATTGGCCCCTTTTCCCTATATGATCACTCCAGAACGAGTCTATCAGTCTACCAGAAGAGTCCGAAGACCTTTACCATCCTTTATTTAACTCTTTGGGCCAAAAAGACAGGACACATTGTTGACTTTTTTGGCAGTCCTCCAATATAGACATCACTGGTGATTGGAAGGTTCAAGTTTGTCATTTCGCTTTTTGAGAGCTGCACATCTATCTTTTACGTCGTGACATTAGCAGTATCACTATTTGGAGATGCTTACGCTCAAATTCTACCGACAGATCTTTATTATATTTCTATGACTACGGAATTCTTCGTCTCCCCATGCTTTCCGTGCTTGAAATCTGCGTGCAAAGCAATATCAGGAGTGGAGAGAGCTTGTGCGAGCCTTCGTTGGTATATAAACGTTGACTATGCTGGTTCAGGGTAGTCACTCCATATCTGAGACTCTGAGATGTCTTTTCTAAAGATAAAACAAACAAGCCCCTGCCAAACTACCTTGGGAAAATGGCCTTCCTGGGCCAAGTCGATGCAGAGTATGGGGGAGTGCAAGTGTTTGGGGTTCATGTTCACAGTAGTCAATGTCTGTGAAACGATGAGTTCTTGGGCCCCCTCAAATATCAAATAATCATTGTCATGGAAGTGGAACATGACCCCTTGGAGCGAGGGCAATTCCGTGGCAGATTGGTTGGATCCCTATGGGGGTGTCTCCCATCTCGTCAACCTGTTCGCTGCAACTCCTGCTGACGGAGGTGACTGTAGCTGTCTCCTCAGCAGCGATCAAACGCCTGTTGACAACAAACCTGCTGGTGGACGTGCCAATCATGGTTTAAAACAACAGTACGAGTAGCAACTTGCCATCGCTTGATTCCACGCACCAATGTAGCTTGTGGACACAGCTGGATACAGTGGAAGGCCCCAAAAGAGCTTGGAATGACAGGGTCACCCATTGTCATATAATTTTGCTACAAATTCTGACACCACTGCGCAGGAAAACCAACACAACTAACGAAACCAACCACCAACTACAGTACCAACATCAATCATCTTGCTTATCTTGGCCCTATGACATCGTTGGTCACCCACGACATACAGCCGTCACCAACCTCAAAGGCTCGGTGGACAGTTACACTGTCGGTATTTCCTTTGTTCCGATTTCTTGATCTGTATAGATTTGTAATGATATGTACATATATCATCATATATCATCATGTCATATAATATAATATCTACTCATATATCTAGGTATGGTCGGTGGCAGTGGTCTTGTCCCTTTTGTCACGATCCCAACAAATGATGGCAAACATAGACTCAGTATCAAACAACAACCGGTTTCCAAGAATGCCCCATGTTGAAGAAATCAAGTGGCGATGTGTTCCTGCTTCTCCCGGGGTTCTATGTTGCTCTATTCCCACTCTGAAGGAGCACGTTTCGCGTGTGGAGTTCCAAATTTCGTTTAAACGAAGTGGCACTGGTGCTCGTCACTGTGGGCGGGCCCCCGCAGAAGGCTGCAGCATTTTCGGGCAAATGGCACCTGAACGGAGGCCACAAATGGTTCCCAAAAATTCAAGTATTGTTCTTAGTATATATTAGTATAGTTCAACCAGTAGCCGTGCACAAACTACTGTCAGTTCTTTACAACGGTGATGCGGTCCAACGGTGAGAGTTGACTGGCCGAGCGAGCAGCTGGCAGGTGCGCGACGTGCGTGTGTTCGGTACCACGGCTTCCGCGGTGGGCAAAGTATCTGGAGAAACGGAGAGCCACGGACCCCCGAGCAATCCAAGCAAGTCAAAAATGAATCTTCTAAATTGTCAGGCTATGTCAGGGCCTATGTCAGGCTTCTATTCAAAACAGAAATGATGTACGAACAACTGTCGAACAACATGTCTTTCCGGTACGAACACTGATAACTAACAGCTGACCTGAACCTTTTCAGAACATGCTTCTGCGACGCCTGAGCTTCACCCGACTCGTATTCACTTGGACTCCATGAGTCCAGGTGGGAGCACTGAGTCTGTTTGGGCACCAAATCTGTGTCTGTGGTCTGACGGACGGACTCATGACACCGCTAAGCCTGTGCTTGGCAGTTTCTTCAGATTTGTTTGTGGCATCTACTCAGCATCTACTCATCTCTTTTCTGGCAAAAGAATCCCCTGAATGAAGGAAGGATATCTTTAGCCTGTAGCCTTTGATTACGGGGCGTTTGGTGAACCCCGGATTTTGGCGACCTCTATTTATCGCACGCACAACTGGCTCTTGTTCAGGAGCCCAAAGTATCATAAAGATTCAAGTATCATGAGTGCATCATCCTGCCCTTTACAAAACCCACATTCCACCATTTTGCATGCAAAGGTTGGATTCCAAGAGGCCAATCACCCTGCTGGCAGGTGACTCCTGACAATGCAACGGGCACTGCGACGATGTGATGCGGTCATGCTCAGTTTGTGGGGATGAACATGGCTTCAGTACAGTGCCATCTTGTTGCAGAAGATACTATTGCAAGTTTGGTGGAACAAAGGGCGATGACAAACCAAATATAAACCATGCAACCATCCGTAGCATCTCCGATCTCACGATCAACGAGTGTGGACGTCCTAGACCCATGATATCCCATATATACATACTCTGGAGCTCTTCTTTTGCATCTGTCTGACAACATCTGACAACAAGAATCAAACGGCCCTACTTACGCTGCTGAGCATGTCCTGACAACTCCACCAATTCATTCATGGTTTTCAGTCCCATCCGAGTGGATCTTCCAGGCACGGCTGCCACACTCACTAGTCGAAACCCGCTGAGACCACACAGTTGAAACCCGGCTTCCATCGGCCGCTGTGTCCTCCACAGTTGCATGGAAAGGCGCCAGGGCCCGGGGCGGCCTCATTCGTACCTGAGACGAGGGCGGAGATGTCCATTCATCTCTCGCAGGCGTTCGACCGATTTGTCGGTAGACACTGATCCTCCGAAGAGTCGGGAACCCAGGCCGGAAGAGCTGTTCTCGATTTATGCCTGGGTAATTCTTCCTGTCCCCGCAGCTAGTAGCGTCCTTGCTCCTAGTAGCGATGCCCTTTGCTCCTAGTAGCTTCTTGTTCCTAGTAGTGAGGCCAGAAGCCCCTAGTAGCGATGCGGCGATGCCCTTAGAGAGGTCTCAAAAATGCTCTGCATCTGATCCTCCAATCTTCGTCTTCGACTGACAAACTCGTTGTTTTGCCCAGCGGCAGGCGAGCAAGGGGAGGTCCGGCAGTTCAGTCTGCACATTCTCCGCCAAGATGTCCCGGTCGTTGCTATCTGCGGAAGGGCGGAAGGTACACTGCCTGAAACTGTCATGGGCCAACGTGGATTGCATGGCCCCGATTTCATCCTCACTCCACTCTCTAACTTTAACATACTTAACCATGATTTCAGGGAGTGCTTGTTGCAGATTCTTGGGTCAGTTCGACGGGGAGTTCTTGGGAATGTGATTCAAGTCGTCTCAGGACAAGAGAGATTCGACTCAACCCAACGTGATTGACGTAGTCTGAGGTGAAAGCAGCGCTTTACGCGCTTGTTCGATCCGATCTGACTCAACGTCTGGACGTCTGAATGTTGTG